TAGATAGATAGATAGATAGATAGATAGATAGATAGATAGATAGATAGATAGATAGATAGATAGATAGATAGCGGTAACCAGGACTGGATGGCCTATTCCAAGGATGGTCTTGCCAAGGCATTATAAAGCGCTATTAGGACTTATGCGCCCACAGAAGGCCGAGCCACAGCGTAAGCTCTAGTCTCCTTACTCAAAGGCCAGCAGGAGGAACAAGAGATAGGAACAACAGCTGGGTCAAGTCATCGTAGCTTTGCAACTACAGCAGGATTCCGCCTATTTCTGCACACTCGTCTTTGCCTCAAAGATTAAGCACAACGGAGAGACATTACATGCTCAAATTGTTGATTTCATGGCGTGCACATTAGACTTTGCTAGCCTGGGTGGATTTAAATCTTAGAAACGGCTTGTTTAAATCGGAACTTGAGGGGCCTGGGTTTACATTCAGGTATTTTCAGTTTATTCAATGACAGTCATAATAAGACGCTTCAGAATAAATTCGGAATTAAAGCACACAATTCCCCAGAGGGAGTAGTGAAAATAAACAGTGGCAGACAAAATTATGGAGATTCCCAGTCATCCGGTTGTCCCAAAGGTGCTTTTTGCTTTTCCATGAAGACGTTCGCTTCTCATTCCAAGAAGCTTCTTCGGTTCTCTTCTTCAGAACTGAAGAAGCTTCTTGGATGAGAAGAGAAACGCCTTCAAGGAAAAGCGAGGAAAGTTTAGTTGCCTTTTGAAAAAGCACCTTTTGGGACATGAAACTGATGATGAATTAAAAATGAAACAAGAGTTAAAACTAAAAGTTATCAGCTTCATTTGGGTCAGTATCTCTACTTCTCCAGGTATCTAATTCCCTTCTGATTTGCAAGACCAACCACTTATAGAAATGGGAAACCACTGAGATTTCGCCATCTTGGCTACTGCAAATCTGTGACTAAGAGACACAACTCAGCCGGTTCACTTCCTTCAGCTCACTGACCCACATCTATGGACCTTCACTTCATGCATGAATGAGCATGGGTGATGGATGCGTTAACCTGATATTCCCTACCATTAGTAGGTATGGTGACAAATTAGTGCTCCAGTTCACATTCCCTTGACTAGCGAAGAGCAAGAAGGCGGCGTAACTCTATCCAGCTAGTCCTCGACATGCGCCCACAAAATTTCTGTGCTTAACCATCGTTAAGTGAGTTTTGCCCCATTTTTCTTGTCACTGTTGTTAAGTGAATCACTGCAGTTGTTAAATGGATCAGGCTTCCCACTAGACTCTGCTTGTTAGGGGCGGTCACAAAAAGGATCACGTGATCCAAGAACACTGCAACCGTCATAAATATGAATACGTCACCGAGCATCTGAATTTTGATCATGTGAACGGGGTGGGGGGTTGCAACAAAGGGTGAAAAATTGTCTCGTTTTTCACTGCTGTTGTAACTTTGAACGGTCACTAAAACGGGCTGTTGTAAGTTGAGGTGTGTATTATGGGGGTGTCGGGCTGACAAATGGGGGAGTTCCTTATAGGAGTGGTCTCCAATCTTGGCAAGTTTAAGACTTGTGGACTTCAACTCCCAGAGTTCCTCAGCCAGCAAAGCTCTAGCTGGCTGGAGAATTCTGGGAGATGAAGTCCACAAGTCTTAAAGGTGCCAACTTTGAAGTCCTCTGCCATAGACAGTGCTATAGATCAGTGGTCTCCAACCTTGGCAACTTTAAGACTGGCAAAACTGGCTGAGGAACTCTGGGAGTTGAAGTCCACAGGTCTTAAAGTTGCCAAATTTGGAGACCACTGCCTTACAGTGCCTGTACCCCTAAGCCCACTCCCTTCAGCTAACTTTTTAATCCCCCAAGCGATGAATCTCAACACCACGAGAGACATTTCATTCCCAGGTAAACGGTGCATTGAAAAGATGCAAACAAACAGCACTTAAAAGCCACCATCGGGGTTACAAAATGGCAAGGGAAAATCTATGCCACCATCTGCTAAACGATACTAGGAAGAAGGAAAAAGGGACAAATATTGAGCTAAAAAAGAAAATCTTGACTTAAAAGGAAAAATTAGCTGGGAAAATGCTCCGCGGATAAAACGGCTCGTTGATGGAGGCAGATCCGCCAATTGCCAAAAGCAGAGAATTGAAAGATTTTATTTCCAAAACTCTGCAAATGTCTACCTCATTACCAGGAGAAATCAAAGATGGCATTAAGGTCTAAATGCTTTGGGGAAGTGGAAAGGGGAAACCTCTCTGGTTAAAAGAGATCCTACACAAAGGATCCCATTCCTGCTAATAATTCTAACGGGAGATAATGGACCCTTATTTCTCTCTTTCAAACACAAAAAAACGTGTCTCAAAAGATAGAGAGTTGTTTTTCTTCCTTTCTTTTTCCCAAAAACCAGCCAGCCATCACTGCTGCCACCCTCACTTTCCATCAAGCATTTTACTGGGAAACAAAACAAAGGAAGAAGTGAAATCCATGGGAGATTTCCAATGAATACTCAACAATCCTTTTTTTTAAAGGAACGGACGACAAAAGGGATGGTTTTTTTTTTTTAAAAAAATGGTTTCTAACTAGCCTCTAATCGGTTCGCCTCTGGTTCTGAGGAAGGGAACGGCAGCAGAGAGAGTTAAAAATAAGTTTTTCTCTATTTGGTGCCAGGAGTTCAATGCTTAAATAATTCAATTATGGAACACGCTCAATTCAGCATCTTCAGTGAGCATCATTTATGTACCAATCTGTAGCCAAGTGATTGGAATGCTAAGTGATTGGATCAATTTAACAGAGGATAGAATACTCAATATTGAAGGGTATGATTTGGTATATGGTTGCTTATTTCTTATATAATAAAAAGGTGGATAAGAATTTTAAAAGTCATATTCTAAGGAATGCCTTACTACAGGTTGGGAAAAAAACATCAATATAAATTAAATGACATGGTAGACTTACAAAAAGGTTATGGTATTCTGGACAAAAATATGATGGATTGT